CTCCGAGGCTTGGGCGGAGCATGGCTTTACCTTCAAGAGGGGACTTCAGGCGAGGAACCTCGGCACCGACGCCAACATCACTCGTCGTGGAGTTCATGAAGGAGCTGTGCGTGCGGTCAGCGGCCTTCGCCGAGGACGCAGGCTAGGGGTGCTTCGCTCAGCTGGCGCGGCTACCGAGATGGTCCATCGTGCTGGGCCCACCGCGGCGATGCTGTGGGGGCGCACTGTTACTGGTGTACCTGATAGGGAGCTGCATTCGTGGCGCCTGGCGGCGGTACGCTCAGCTGGGAAGTTCCCTAAGGGCGCCTCGCTCGGGTTGAGACTCAGAGTGGTGGAGGTCATGAAGTCCACCGATCTCGACCCGAGCCCCGCGCTGCTTCGGGCCGCGGTGCAGATGGCGGCCAGTCTCCTCCAGTCGGGGGAGGTCCCACTGCGCATGTTCGAGTCGGCCGTGCAGGAGGCAGTGCAGAGGCACGCGGGGGCAGCAGCCCCTTGGGTGCACTGCCGCACGCCGGTGGATGCCCTGGCCCTCTCGCTCTCCAGGGTGGGCTGGAGGCTTGTTCAAGGGGCCCGCCTCGCCACCGACGACGGCCATCTCCTGGACCTGCGCATGTTGGGGCCGCGCGAGCTGGGCCTGCTGGCTGCGGCAGGGGCACGGCGCGCGTCGGACAAGTCGGAGTTGGCCCGCCTCGGCCACGGGGCGCTCCCCCAGTCGCCCCTGTTCTGGGAGGCCTTCGCGGAGGTCCTCGGGCCTGGCAGCAAGCTCAGCCACAGGGAGAAAGCGGCGGTGGTGAGCTTCCTTTCCAACGCCCACTGGCCCCAGACCCGTCTGCACTCGGCGGGAGAGAGGGAGCACGCTCGCTGCTGTGCCTGTCAGGCCCCCCGCGGCAGCCTCTGGCACAGGCTGTTCGAGTGTCCTGTCCTTGCGGGGGCCAGGCGTGACTCTACCTCTGACCGCCTTCGGCGCTGTGCGCATCGGGCACGCGGCCGTGGCGAGGAGGCGGGTGAATGTTTCGCGCGCTGCTGGCTCCCTCAGCCACCGAGGGCCGCCCCGAGGTCAGACGCCATGTCAGTCATGTGGTGCAATCGCCCCGCCGACGGTCTTCTCGGGGGGCGGCTCTACCTGGATGGGTCGGCGCTCGACCCTGAGCACGAGAGCCTGCGGCGTGCGGGATGGAGCATCGTGCAGTGCGACTCCGACGGCAACATGGAGTGCGCGGTGTACGGCTGCGTGCGCCAGGACCTCTGCCCGTTCCAGACGGCGAAGGACGGCGAGGATTTCGCGGTCTGGATGCTGTCTCGCTTTCTGGGCCCGAGCGTTGACGAGATCCTCATCGATTGTGCGTCCACGGTCAGCTGCCTCACGTTGGGTAAGAAGTACGCGACGGCAGCCAACAAGCCCAACGCCCACCTCTGGGAGGGGATCTACGCGTCGCTAGACGTGGACACGCTCAAGGTGACCAAGGTCGCAGCCCACTGCACCGCCAGAGACGTGATGGATGGCAAGATCACGGAGGCGGACCTCCGTGGCAACGGACATGCAGACCGCTGGGCCAAGGCGGGGGCGGAGCTCCACCGTACCAGCCCAGCGGCCAGGCGCGAGTTCTTTGGCACGATGGAAGTGGTGAGGGAGCTCTCGTGCTGGGTGGCGCAAGCCTCCCTCATCTGGCAGGGGATCGAGGTCAAGGACTGCGAGGGCCTCCCCGAGGGCAGCGAGCGGGCGGCCGTATCCTTCGCAGTGCCAGTGGTGGAGCCCGCCAGCAGCCGCCCTCCCGACCCGTGTTCGGGCGACGGGTGGGCATCGGCGGCGCGCGCTGGTGGCGTCTCCCTCGGGGCGACGGCCTTCGTCGTCGTCGGCCACGTCCTGGCCTACGCCAAGTGCGGGGAGGGAGCCGCCGAGCAGGAGCTGATGGCGTGCACCCACTGCGGGGCGTACGCGCGGCTGGGCGGGCGCTCAGGTGCGGCGCCCAAGCTCAAGGAGCAGTGCCCAGGGTCGGCTGGGCTTCCCAAGGGCAGGAGAGACCAGAAGGCGCGCTGGTTGCAGGGGCGGCACCCTGCTGGCACGCCCCACAGCGGCAGCAAGAGGGTCGGAGCGTCCGTGCCCAGCTTGCGCAAGGAGGACGTGGTGCCGATGGCCGCCAGGGTGCGCTTCCTGGAGTGGCTGGGTGTCCGCCCCGATGTTGCACCTGGCGGCGTGGCCGCCGACGCCGGCCGAGGGCCCCCCAGCGGCGCGGCGGCAGCAGGTGAGGTGGAGGCTGAGCCTTTGGCGCCTGACTCCTCGGGGGCCTCGAGGGAGGCTTGGCTGAGCGCCTACGGGCTCGACGAAGCGAGCCTCCTCGAGTGGTCAGCCGCAGCAGAGACGGCGCGCGAAGACAGGCGCAAGAGACGCCGTCGCGCTGAAGGTGACGAAGGGGAGTGATGCAGCATCACTTTCCTCTTTTTGTTGTATCTGCCCCTCGTCACCTCTTTTGGCGTGCGCGTGTGGCAGCGTCTTCTGCCCCGCATTGTTGATGCAGCGTGGCGGCTGTCAGGCGTGATGTGCGCCTCCGCCCCGCTGCCTTCTGATTTCTTTGAAATCGTGCGCTTCGCGCATTTGGCGCTTCGCGCCCTTCCCCCTGGCGGCTCCCTTGGGGCCCCTAGGGTTGGCCCTTGAGGCCCTGGGGCCAACGGGCTCTGTGGGCCTCGGGCTTCGTTTTGCCTTCACAGGCCCCGCAGCTCACAGCTCACACAGGAGCACGGCAGACCCCACACGAGCACGGCAGACCAAAGAGACGACACAAGGAGCACAGCAGATCCCGCAGGAGCAGGGCAGACACCACACGAGCACGGCAGATCCCAAATGAGCACGGCAGACACAGAAGCACTGCAGACCACACAAGAGCACCGCAGACCTCACAGGAGCACGGCAGACCCCACAGGAGCACGGCAGACCCCACAGGAGCACGGCAAACCACAAAGGAGCACGGCAGACCACAGGAGCACGGCAAACCACACAGGAGCACGGCAGACCACACAGGAGCACGGCAATCCCCACAGGAGCACGGCAGACCGCGCGCAGGTACAACATAAACGCGCCTTTTGTTGTACCCCGAACGCCGCTGGCGTTTCCCCCACAGGAGCACGGCAGACCCCACAAGCTCGCGGGAAACCCCAAATGAGCACGGCAGACCACAGGAGCACGGCAGACCACACAGGAGCACGGCAGACGCCACAGGAGCACGGCAGACCGCGCAGGAGCACGGCAGACCACACATGAGCACGGCAGACCCCACAGGAGCACGGCAGACCCCATAGGAGCACGGCAGACCATAGAAGAGCACGGCAGACCAACAGGAGCACGGCAGACCACACAAGAGCACGGCAGGCCACACAGGAGCACGGCAGACCACACAGGAGCACGGCAGACCACAAAGGAGCACGGCAGACCACACAAGAGCACGGCAGACCCCACAAGAGCACGGCAGACCCCACAGGAGCACGGCAGACCCCACAGGAGCACGGCAGAGCAGACCCTAAAGGAGCACGGCAGACCACACAGGAGCAAGGCAAACCACAGGAGCACGGCAGACCACACAGGAGCACGGCAGACCCCACAGTAGCAAGGCAGACCCCAAAGGAGCACGGCAGACCACCGGAGCACGGCAGACCACACAGGAGTACGGCAGACCCCACATGAGCACGGCAAATCCCAAATGAGCACGGCAGACCACAAGAGCACGGCAGACCACACAGGAGCACGGCAGACTCCACAGGAGCACGGCAGACCACAAAGGAGCACGGCAGACCACACAGGAGCCCGGCAGACGCCACAGGAGCACGGCAGACGCCACAGGAGCACGGCGGAACCCACAGGAGCACGGCAGACCGCGCGCGGGTACAACATAAACGCGCCTTTTTGTTGTACCCCGAACGCCGCTGGCGTTTCCCCAACAGGAGCACGGCAGATCTCACAGGCGCGCGGCAGACCCCAAATGAGCACGGCCGACCACAGGTGCACGGCAGACCCCAAATGAGTACGGCAGACCCCAAAAGAGCACCGTAGACGCCTCAGGAGCACGGCTGACCACACAGGAGCACGGCAGACCACACAGGAGCGCGGCAAACCACAAAGGAGCAAGGCAGACACCAAATGAGCACGGCAGTCCACACGTTCGCACGGCAGACCGCACAGGAGCACGGCAGACCGCACATGAGCACGGCAGACCAAGAAGGAGCACGGCAGACCACACAGGAGCACGGCAGACCACACAGGAGCACGGCAGACCACACAGGACACGGCAGACCCCACGGGAGCACGGCAGACCACACAGGAGCACGGCAAACCACACAAGAGCACGGCAGACCATACAGGAGCACGCCAGACCACACAGGAGCACGGCAGACCACACGTTCGCACGGCAAACTCCACAGGAGCACGGCAGACCCCAAAGGAGCACGGCAGTGGTACGTGGCACTGCTGTGGTATGCCGTACTAAAAACGTGGAATATCTCATAAGCCCAGGGGACAAAAGCACGCTTCCCGTTCTTGTCCGGTCAGGTTCCGGAAAATTGGCCGTTTCGCTCGGGACGTCCTCAAAAAATCGGCTCCGGAGGGGACTCCGAAGCAGCATTATCTTGGAATCGCTCCCGGAGGGCCTCCAAACGGCCCAAGAAAGCCCCTGAAGGCCCCCCAGAGGACCCCCAGAGCGCCCCAAGAGACCCCCAAGAGGCCCCCAAGGGGCGGCCAGAGGCCCGCCAGAGCGCCCAAAACGCTCCAAGAGACCCCCAAGAAGCCCCCCAGGGGCTCCAAAGAGGCGGCCAGAAGTCCCGGGGTGCGTTCTGAGTAAAAGCTCCAGGCGTATCCAGCCGTGGCGACGGGGACCGTCCAGGGCGAGCAGCGATATTGGAATGATTTCCTTTGCTGAGCTCTCCGCCAGCGCTGCCGTCGGCGGTGCGTCGCCGTGGTAGCGAGCGTTCGATCTTGAAAAGGAGCTCACAACGCGTAGTGGCGTAGTGGCCAAATGCTAAATGCACGTGTTTCTGCTTCGTCAGTTGTTGGGGTGCGGCGATACCCGTCCTCGCGCCTCGCGCCTCGCGGCCTGGGCCGGCGTGTTGCCTCCCTCCTGGGGACCCGTGCGAGCGCAAAGATCATCGTGCTCCCTGCCGTGAGCCTAAAATCGACTCCGGGCACCGTTGTAATCACGGCCCGAGCTAGTGCATCGTACCTCAGAGCGCATCTGTGCCTTTTCGCTTCCCAGCCCACCCGCCCGAAGCTGGTGGCAGGCGGCGTGGGTCACGCCAGCTGTGGCACGACCGTCAGCAGTGAACCTTATGCGCGCTGTCGCAAAATGTCCAGGCTCGCTGCTCTATGCTATCATGTCGCGGTGCGAGGGCTCTGTGCACACGACAGCGATGTGGAGGGGGGAAAGGAAACCTCCCAGGCAGGGGGGATAAAGAGTTGGAAACGGACACGCCCTAAACCATCTACGCCCGAAGGGGCTAATCAGAGTTGTTTCAATCCCCCTCCGATCCGGTGCATTTCTCTTGAAGAGATCCTGTGGCGTGGCTTCCACGCTCAGACCGTTCGGAATATGCATTGCCTCCCATATCGTGGTCGTCGTTGTCGTCGTCGTCGTCGTCGTCGTCACCGTCGTTGTCGTCATCGTCGTCGTCGTCGTTGTCATCAGCATCGTCGTCGTCGTAATCCTCATCGTCATTACCTTCGGCCTCCTCCTGCTGCACATTATTATTCTTCTGATCAGTCGTTCTCCCTCGCGCTCGTCTTCTCAACCCTCTTACTCTACGTTATTCTACTCACCATCCGCCTCATGATCATGCTGCTCTTTTCCGCGGTACTCGACGTCCTGCACGCTGATACGCACAGCAAGATCCGCAACCGAAAGAGCGGCGCTCCCCGTTCTTGTCTGGAAAGGTTTCTAACTAAGGGGTACCGATTCCATCCCGCACCTCGCTGGCGGATGACGGGAAGCGTCTTCGAGGTACGAGAAGCAAGCGGGACGTTCTGGCTGAATCCTTGAGTAAATATATCTTTTTCTTTAACTATATGGGTTGCCGCGCTGCACGGGATTGACGGGAAGCGTCTTCGAGGTACGAGAAGCAAGCGGGACGTTCTGGCTGAATCCTTGAGTAAATATATACATATCTTTATATCTCTGGGTTGCCGCGCCGCACGGCGTTTTTCGTTGGCGGATTCCCCAAAATGGCCATTTCGCTCGAGACATCCTCGAAAAATCGAGGTGTTGGAGCCTATCGTCACAGACGTCTTATGTCAAAAATGACGGTTTCGCTCGAGACATCCTCAAAAAATCGGGATGTTGAAAAATATCAAAAATTTTTGATATGATGAAAAATGAGCGTTTCGCTCGAGACATCCTCGAAAAAATGAGATGCCGACAGAGGTGTTTTACAACCTCTTTTGTTAAAAATGACGTTTCCGCTCGGGACGTCCTCAGAAAATGAGCAGGAGCACGGCAGGCGGAAAAAAAGGAGCACGGCAGACCACACAGGAGCACGGCAGACTCCACAGGAGCACGGCAGACCACAAAGGGAACACGGCAGACCACACAGGAGCCCGGCAGACCCCACACGAATACGGCAGACCCCAAAGGAGCACGGCAGACCACACAGGAGCACGGAAGACCACACAAGAGCACGGCAGACCCAACAGGAACACGGCAGACCCAAAACGAGCACGGCAGAGCCGACAGGAGCACGGCAAACCCCGCAAGAGCACGGCAGACCGCACAGGAGCACGGCAGACCACACAGGATCACGGCAAACCCCACAGGAGCACGGCAGTCCACACAGGAGCACGGCAGTGGTGTTGCTGGTTTGGTCCCCTCGGGATACCGCATTGACGTGTTGCTGGTTTGCCCCCCCCAGGATACCTTCTTGACGTGTTGCTGGTTTGTCCCCTCAGCACCTTCTTGACGTGTTGCTGGTTTGCCCCCTCAGGAAGACTTCTTGGCGAGTGGCTGGTTTTGCCTCAGGGTAACTTATTGAAGTGTTGGTGGTCGACCACCTCAGCACCTTCTTGGCGTGTTGCTCGTTTGCCCCCCTCAGGATAACCTTTGACGTGTTGCTGGTTTGCCCCGTCAGGATAACTTCTTCACGTGTTGCTGGTTTGCCCCCACAGGAGCACGGCAGACCACACAGGAGCACGGCAGACCCCACACGAGCACGGCAGACCAAAGAGACGACACAAGGAGCACAGCAGATCCCGCAGGAGCAGGGCAGACACCACACGGGCACGGCAGATCCCAAATGAGCACGGCAGACACAGAAGCACTGCAGACCACACCAGAGCACCGCAGACCTCACAGGAGCACGGCAGACCCCACAGGAGCACGGCAGACCCCACAGGAGCACGGCAAACCACCACGGCAGACCACAGGAGCACGGCAAACCACACAGGAGCACGGCAGACCACACAGGAGCACGGCAATCCCCACAGGAGCACGGCAGACCGCGCGCAGGTACATCATAAACGCGCCTTTTGTTGTACCCCGAACGCCGCTGGCGTTTCCCCCACAGGAGCACGGCAGACCACACAAGCTGGCGGGAAACCCCAAATCAGCACGGCAGACCACAGGAGCACGGCAGACCACACAGGAGCACGGCAGACGCCACAGGAGCACGGCAGACCGCGCAGGAGCACGGCAGACCACACATGAGCACGGCAGACCCCACAGGAGCACGGCAGACCCCATAGGAGCACGGCAGACCATAGAAGAGCACGGCAGACCAACAGGAGCACGGCAGACCACACAAGAGCACGGCAGCAGACCACACAGGAGCACGGCAGACCACACAGGAGCACGGCAGACCACAGGAGCACGGCAGACCACACAGGAGCACGGCAGACCACACGTTCGCACGGCAAACTCCACAGGAGCACGGCAGACCCCAAAGAAGCACGGCAGTGGTACGTGGCACTGCTGTGGTATGCCGTACTAAAAACGTGGAATATCTCATAAGCCCAGGGGGCACAAGGACGCTTCCCGTTCTTGTCCGGTCAGGTTTTTCGTTGGCGGATTCCCCAAAATGGCCATTTCGCTCGAGACATCCTCCAAAAATCGAGGTGTTGGAGGCTATGTTCGCAACATCATCTTGAAACCGAGAGGAGCACGGCAGACCAAGACGAGGAGCACGGCAGACCAGGCCCCAAGAGCGCCCTCAAGACGACGGAAAGGAGGACCAGGACGAGGAGCACGGCAGACCAAGACGAGGAGCACGGCAGACTATGCCCTAAGAGTGCCCTCAAGACGGCCGAACAATCATCAAACAAACAATGAGTCTAACGTCGTCTTGGAATCGTTTTTGAGGGCATCAGTACGGCCCCCCAAAAACAGAATCGGCCCAAAGATGACCCGCAGAGTGCCCTCAATACGGCCGAACATGAGGATTTCGCTGGGGACGTGTTCAATAGATTAAGAGTGTATCAGCACCGTCTGTTGCAACAGCGCTGTGCTGGTCTGCCGTTCTCCTGTGGTCAGCTGTGCTGGTCTGCCGTGCTCCTGCGGTCTGCCGTTCTGGTCTGCCGTTTTGGTCCGCCGTGCTCCTGTGGTCTGCCTTCCTGGTCTGCCGTGCTGCTGCCGTCTGTCGTGTTGCTGCGCTGTGCCGTGTAAGCTGATAAACCGGTCAGACCGATGAAAAAAACGAGAGTCGGGTTACACCGGCTACGCAGATTTAAACTGCTAGTCCAAAGGCTCTCCAGAGGACCCCAACATCTCCCAAGCACACCCCGAGAAGTCCATCATCATCATCATCATCATCATCATCATCATCATCATCATCATCATCATCATCATCATCATCATCATCATCATCATCATCATCTGTTGCAACAGCGCTGTGCTGGTCTGCCGTTCTCCTGGCATCAGCTGTGCTGGTCTGCCGTGCTCCTGCGGTCTGCCGTTCTGGTCTGCCGTTTTGGTCCGCCGTGCTCCTGTGGTCTGCCTTCCTGGTCTGCCGTGCTGCTGCCGTCTGTCGTGTTGCTGCGCTGTGCCGTGTAAGCTGATAAACCGGTCAGACCGATGAAGAAAACGAGAGTCGGGTTACAACGGCTACGCAGATTTAAACTGCTAGTCCAAAGGCTCTCCAGAGGACCCCAACATCTCCCAAGCACACCCCGAGAAGTCCATCATCATCATCATCATCAGCATCATCATCATCATCATCATCATCATCATCATCATCATCATCATCATCATCATCATCATCATCATCATCATCATCATCATCATCATCATCATCATCATCATCATCATCATCATCATCATCATCATCATCATCATCATCATCATCATACGCATGCCCAGGACCACGATCATCATCGTCATCATCATCCACACCATCAGCATCATCATCACCATCGCCACCATCACCATAAGTATAATCATCATTCGTATCATCATCGTCATCCTCATCGTCATCGTCATCGTAATCATCATTATCATCATCACCACCATCATCACCATACTCATACTCATACTCATCATCATCCTCCTCCTCATCATCATTATTATCATCATCGTACGCATCACCATCACCATCAGCAGCAACATGTTCATCACCAACAACAGCAGCGTCAGGCCAGAGGCCCGCCAGAGCGCCCAAAACGCCCCAAGAGACCCCCAAGAAGCCCCCCAGGGGCTCCAAAGAGGCGGCCAGAAGTCCCCCAGAACGCGCGAAAAGGCTCCAGGAGTTCCCTGAGAGCTTCATATCGCCCCATAGAGCCCCCGAAGGCCCCCCCCGGGACTCCCCCAAGAGGCCCCCGAGAGGCCAGAGGCTACGACAGCCCCAAGAGCGTCCAAGATACCTCCAAGACGGCGCCGAAGCCAGGAAACGCAACAGGGATGTTCTCTGACGTTCTCGCCAATACGGTCTCTGACGCACGTGGTGGATAAAAAACTGCGCTTCCCGTTCTTGTCCGGTCAGGTTCCGGAAAATTGCGGAAAAATGGCCTTTTCGCTCGAGACATCCTCGAAAAATCTGGCATTATCTTCGAGTCGCTCCTGGAGGCCTTCAAAACGGCCCCAAAGAGCCCTCAAAGGCCCCGACACGGCCCAAAAGAGCACCGAAACGGCCCGAGAGGACCCCAAGACAGCCCCAAGAGAGCCCCAGGAGAGCCCCAAGAGCCACCCAAAAGGGCCCCAAGAGGCCGCCAAGAGAGCCCCAAGACGGCCAAAGGCGTCCAAGAGTCTCCAACACGGCCCAACAGGGCCACAAGACGCCCCAAGAGGGCCCCAAGACAGTCCCACTTTGGGGCCCCAAAAGGACCCCCAAGAAGGCCCATAGACGCCACATGATAGAGCGATCGGTAACGCAAAAAGCTCTCCACACTAAGGTTCCCAAGAGCGACCGGTGACGTGACAAACTCGTGACATCAAGGCTCCGACGAGCGAGCGGTGACGTGAACAATTCTCGACACCAGGGCTCCCAGAGCGAGCGGCAACGTAAAAAACGCTTCACACCAAGGCTCCGAAGACACGCCCTCCAGGGACCAAGTTGGCGGCTTTTTCGGCCCAAGACGGCTCCAGAGACCTCCACGACGGCCCCGGAGCGCTCCAAGAGGTTTGCAAGACGGCCCCAGAGGCGCCCAAGAGGCCCCAAGACAGCCCAAGAGCGCTCCAAGAGAAGCGAAGATGGCCCCAAGTCGAAGCGCCTCCGGCGTGCACCGTTGGTTCAGGGGCTTAATTTTCTATGATTTTTGAATAATTTTTGAAGGTTTTGGGGTTCTCGCCTTTTCCGTTTCCCGACGCTCCAAGACGGCCCAAGAGGCCCCCAAGATCGCCCCAAGACAGCCCAAGAGGCCCCCAAGATCGCCCCAAGACGGCCCAAGAGGCCCCCACGACGGCCCCAAGAAGGCACCAGAAGGCCCCAAGGCGGCCCCAAGACGGCCCCAAGAGGCTTCGCGGCGGCCCAAGAGGCCGTCAATATGGCTCCTAGAGGGGGCACAGACGAGGTACACGAACGGACTTTTCGGGTCCTCGGCCCCAAGTGCCCCCCCGGAGGGTCCAGGAGGCCCCCGAGAGCCCCCCAAGACGCTCCAAGAGGCCCTCAAGAGGCCCCAAAAAGGCACCCAAGACGGCCCCCAAACACGGCCCCCAAGAGGCTTCAGAATTGCTTGTAAGAGGCCTACGACAGACCGACCACAACATCCCAAGGCTCCATTACGAACGATGACGTGGGCAGCTTCGAACGCCAAAGCTCCCAGTACGAACGCTGGCGTCCAGAGCTTTGACGACAAACATTGCTATGAGCAAAAACGGCGCTTCCCGTTCTTGTGCGGTCAGGTTTTTCCATGCCGCCTGAGCCCGCAACGACCTCTTCAAGCCCCGTGCATCCACACCAGCCCGTCCAGCAACTTTGCCCTGGCGAATTGCCTTGATCAGAGAGATCGGGGAGCATAAAGTGGGAAAAAAGATTGCGTTGCCGTCATCTTGGGAAAAGGAGGGGGAGGCAGGAGGAGTAAACAGGGGACGAGGAGGACGCGAAAGCAGAGAGGATGTAAGGAGAATGTGGAGACAGAGGAGGAGGAGGAGGAGGAGAAGGAGGAGGAGGAGGAGGAGGAGGAGGAGGAAGAGGAGGATGGGAGGAGGAGGCGGAGCGGCGGACGAGGAGGGGGAGGAGGGGGAGGAAGGGGAGGAGGATGACGAGGGGGGAAGACCTCTCTGTAGGAATGAGGGTGGGAGGAGGGGGAGGAGGATGATGATGGACGACAATGGGAGGACGATGGTGGAGGCCGATGAGGGGGTGGACGACAATGGGAGGACGATGATGGAAGGACGAGGGGGGGAGAGGGAGGACGAGGAAAAAGAGGAGGATGACGAGGTGGAGGAGGAGGATGACGATGACGATGACGACGAGGACGAGGACGAGGAAGAGGAGGAGGAGGAGGAGGAGGAGGAGGAGGAGGAGGAGGAGGAGGAGGAGGAGGAGAGCGCCATCGACAGGGAAGGTGGGGGCCACGAGGTCCGCCGGCTCGACGACGCCCGCGTCGCCCGCGCCCGCCCCCTCACTGTTATCCGCAATTGCGGGGTGCTACGTATTGCAGAACAATACAATGTGTAGCAAGTATTGCAATGATTAGATACATCGGGCGCGTTGCATTACAGCATCCGCGGACCTGCCTCCGGCAACACGTCCCTTCCGGACGTGGATTCCTCTCGCTTCGCGGGGTGCACTTCCGGAGTTCGTACAGTGAAATCGGTTTGGGGGTTCTCGGGAGTTCCGTGGGGGCGTCTTGGGCCGTCTTGGGGGGCTCTTTCGCGGTTTGGCACCATTGGGGGCGGGGCTGGTGGCCATGTCGCGGCCGCTCAGCACGTCATTTCCGGACGTGGAACGCCACAATCTTTGAAAACCCGTCGGGAAATCAATGATTCTTGTTTCTGGAAGCGCTCTTGGAGGTCCTCTTGGCGCCCTCTTGGGGCGTCCGGTTTTTTGGGGGGGGCCCTCTTGGGGCCATCCTGTACCGTCTTGGTCACGTCGTCACGGGGCTTCTTGGGAGCCTCTTGGGGGCCTCCTGGAGGCCTCTTGGAGGCTTCTTTGAGCCTCTTGGGGGCGACTTTGGGGCCTCTCCCCCCCCCCTCCTTTTCACTCTCCTTCTCCATATCCCTTTCCAGCGCCTCATCAAATCATGGGCGCCGCCGTTTCCAACTTCCATCTGGCTGGCGCTGCGCCGCACTACGCCCAGGGGGGGGAAATGACAGTACACTCCAGTCGCTGTGTGGGCTTTGGGGGGCTTCTATGGGGCCTTTGGGAGGTTTCTTGGAGACTTTTTGGAGGCCTCTGGGGGGCTTCTTGGGGCCCCTTGGGGGCCCCTTGGGGGCCTGTTGGGGGCCTTTTGGGGCCTCTTGGGGTCGTCCTGGGCCGTCTTGGGTTTTTTTTTCTGCCGTTTCGCCCCTTCGGAGGCCGTGTTGGGGGCCTCTCGCGGCCGCCTTGGGGCCCTCTTGGGGTCCTCTTGGGCCGTCTTAGGGGCTTCTTGGACAGTTTTGGGGGCCTCTTTGGGCCGTCTTGGGGCCCTCTTGGGCCGTCTTGGGGCCCTCTGGGAGATTTGTTGTGTTGTTCCGGGGTGATTTTGGAAGCTGTTTGGGCCGCAAAGGCGAGAACGCTGCAATATCGCCAAAACCATAGGACAATCAATGATTTCGGCCTCTGGAGGTGCAGTTGGGGGCGCTCTTGGGGCCCTCTTGGGCCGTCATTGCGGCTTTTTGGGCCCTCTTGGGCCCATCTTGAGCCGTCTTGGCGCCCTCGTGCCCCCCCAAGAGGCCCAAGAAGTCGCAATCATGGGTTTCGATAGGTTTTGCTAGGTTTTTGAGTCCCGGGGGGGTGGCCATTCTGGGTCGACGGATGTGGCGTAGCCCCTGGGGGAGAGGTTCGGGGGGGAGACATAATGACGTAACACAATACAATATGCTGCAAAAGTGCAATCACTGGGGGGTAGATGAGGGGGGCGCGGATGATGGGGATGGCGCGAGTAGTTGAGACCCCAGGTTGCGCCCATCAAGCCCCTGAGCTTCGCCCACATCTTTAGCGGGGTGGCGGACGCAGATCACAGCGTCCCAGAGAAGCAGAAGAGATGGCTCATATCGCAGCCGGCGCTGCGGGAAGGGGTGGGCAAGTTCTTGGGCCTTACGTCTGGGAAGGATGTGGGGGTGATGCAGATCAAGTGGAAGAAACGTATGACTGCGCTGAGGAGTCTACTGGGCGCCTGCAAGGACGCCCACAGCGCCTTGACCAAACGCGCCCAGGCCCAGCTCGCTGCCCGGACTCGGAAGGAGCAGGCGAGAAAGCGCAGTGAGGAGCAGGAGCATATGCAGCAACTTCAGGATGATGTTAAGAAGCAAGCGGCGGAGATCGCGAACAGGCGCGAAGCGGGCCTCCGCGAGACGATGCCCCTGTTCAGCAAGATGGACCCGGCGATGCTGCCCGAGACTACTCTGATTCCGCGTGTCGCCGTGGAGAGTGCCATTTTCAACGTGGACCAGCCGCTTCTCCTTACTCTGCCAGACACCGCACGCTTCCTGACCATCAAGAGCGCTGCAAAGGCCGCGGGCGCCTGGTCCGCGAACTACAAGAAGGAGGATGCGTTCAACGAGTCTGGCAAGGCGTCCGCCCTGCTGAAGGACGTTGCGAAGCTCCATTCCAACGCGTTCTTTTCCACCTTCCCCGACTCCTGCTTCGACTCACCCGAGATGATGGATCTGAGCACCGTTTCGAAGACGTTTGAGGGCCAAGTGCATTTTTTCGGCCACGCCCCTGGGTACAACGCTGCCTCGGTGACCCCCAACGCGTCCCCTTGCGCGAAGCTCCTCGCGGCAGGGGAAGTTGACCGCTACACCTTTAGTATCTTCGAGTTCGTGAGCGCCTGGGAGACGATCCACAAACCCGAGAAGATGAAGAGCATGGACCATCTCTACACGCACGTGAAGAATATGTCACAGGAAACTTCCGAAGAAACGACGGGTGCGAAGCCGAATTTCCTGCGCCGCTGCACGCAGACGTCGAACCAGATGCTGTGGATCCCGACTAGCTACGTTCATCGTGAAAGAGCTCGTGGAACTGTCGTCGCAGGCATCCGCAATTCGTTCTTCCCCAACTCGCCAGCAAGGGCTGCGAGCTACCAGCTGGCCGCCGACCTCATCAGTCGCTCCGGGACGGACACGAAGACCATGGCCGAAATCCTCGGGCTGATGCCAGGGGCAGGAATTGAGCCAGCTCTGGACCAGGAGGCCCCAACGGCTGCGGCGGCGCGAGGTTGGTCATCATTTCGGCCCGGCTTAGGGAGGGGCGCAGGGCCGACCTTGAGCGCGGTCGGGTCCAAGACTGCGTCGTCCTCCTTCCTCCTTCACCGTTTCCATATCCCTCTACAGACTACAGACTCGGCCCCGCTAGTCGTCATCACTTCCGCGTCATATGTTTCTCTTTCCTCTGTCCGTCTCTTTTCCCGTCCAACTCATTCCTTTCCCTCCCCCCGTATCCCCCCTCTCCTTTTCCTCCTTCTCGTGCGGGCTGCGCCCGCGGGCGAAACACGAATGCGCGGATTTCCCCCCCGCTCTCGGGCGTTTCGGAACATGTCGCCTTGCCGCCGCTGGGCCCTCCAAGCGCTCCGAATCCGTCAGTTTTAGTAGTGGTGGTGGTAGTGGTGGTGGTAGTGGTAGTGGCACTAATATTGGTAATAGTGGTAGTGGTAGTGGTAGTGGTAGTGGTAGTGGTAGTGGTAGTGGTCGTGGTCGTGGTAGTAGTAGTAGTAGTAGTAGTAGTAGTAGTAGTAGTAGTAGTAGTAGTAGTAGTAGTAGTAGTAGTAGTAGTAGTAGTAGTAGTAGTAGTAGTAGTAGTAGTAGTAGTAGTAGTAGTAGTAGTAGTAGTAGTAGTAGTAGTAGTAGTAGTAGTAGTAGTAGTAGTCGTAGTAGTAGTAGTAGTAGTAGTAGTAGTAGTAGTAGTAGTAGTAGTAGTAGTAGTAGTAGTAGTAGTAGTAGTAAGTAGTAGTAGTATAGTAGTAGTATTAGTATAGTAGTAGTAGTAGTACAGTGTAGTAGCAGCAGCAGTAGTAGTAGTAGTAGTAGTAGTAGTAGTAGTAGTAGTAGTATAGTAGTAAGTAGTAAGTGGTAGTAGTAGTAGTAGTAGTACAACCCCCTGGATTAAAAAGTGGAGACCGCAGGGGCCGAGGTAGACGTGGTTTGCCTCCCGTTAGGCAGCGGGGCCCCGGGACAATGTTGGATTTGTTGCCAATTCCGGAGTTTCCGGTGCCTCCATCATCCCTTTTAATCTTATTAAGGCCAAATGGGGCTCCGACCGGAAAGTGGGATTCTGCCTAGGACCTCTTCAAAAAAAGTTTCCGGTCGCCTTCCAGGGCGACCGGAAATTCGGCCATGCCACCGGAAAGTGGCGATTCCGCGTGGGACTTCCTCAAAAAAATATTCCGGTCCCTTTTGAGGCCGCCAGTCGAGGATAGAGGTCCGGTCGAACAGCGACCATCGACTTCCCAGGATCCAGTCCCGATCGAAAGTCGCGGCTCGAAAGCCGGACGACGGACGAATACCAGGATGCGGTTCTTTCGGTGTAGCTCCGATCTCAACTTTTTAATCCAGGGGGTGGTAGTAGTAGTAGTAGTAGTAGTCGTAGCCCTATGGTGCCACGAGACGCTGCACTGGGCGAGGGAACCGCATGCGAGCACCGCCAATGAGGCCTCTGGTGGAGCTCCCTCTGGGGCCACGTAACGCTGTATTGAGTGAGGGGAACCGCATGCGAACATCGCCACTGAGGCCTTCGGTGGAGCTCCCAATGTCCCAATGCGAGACGCATGCGAACACCGCCACTGAGGTGCCGAAATGGTTGATTGGTGCGGGGCGCACGTGCAGGGATGGGAGGATGAGGAGGAAGGAGGAGAGGAGAGGAGACGCGGGGCGCCGTCTCTTCGAAGCGGGGACCCAACACCTCATGACGTTTGGGAAACGCAGCATCGCTAACAGGTCACGACTGGAGCCCCAGACCCTACCTTTCTGTGCGTCATGTTTCGCGCCAGATCGGTCGATGAGGGCCCCAAGGCCCCCGACTCTGGGCGAAAACGCCAGTGGTGAAGAAATCGCAACGCCAGGATCTCAGGCATGGGCCCTTTATGTCTTTCTACCCAGCCCCCTCGCCATACCCAGACCTCCGACGTCAGGATGTTTGTCATGATGTCGGCGCCCAGAGGTCTGGACTTAAGTCGGGCATGTTCCTCGACAGGATGAATCATCAAAAATAGTCAAAAAATTGTCAGAGGAAGATTTTTCTATTATTTTTGATTAGCTTTGAACGCTATTCGACTATTTTCAGTTTTTCTGCCAAAATCAGCCTGCAGGAGGACTTGCCTGACCCAAGTGTGGACCCCTTCCCCGGAACTGGCTTTTCGTCTAGAGATTTTGTTTGACGGCCCCGAGGCTTGGCAAGGACCCCCAGGGGCCGAAGATTGTGGAAGACCTTCCGCCGCGATGTGTTCACGACTCGACGGGGCGCCGTCCTCCGAGGGGACACCCTTAAGTCGGGCCTGATCTTTTCCAAGAGGAGTACTCAAATTAGTTCAGATATAGTCTGGGGACGACTTCCCCACTGCTTGTGGCTATTTTTGAATGTGTGTGGACTACTCTAAAGTTTTCATCCCAAACCCGCCTGTAGGATGACACGCCCGACCTAAGGATGCCCCGCGCCGTGCCCCCCCCCCCCCCCTGCCCCCGCAGGAGCACCACGCCCGGGCGCGGCCCCGCGCGGAGGAGCTCGGGGAGCGGGAGGCGGAGCGCACGCGCATGCTCCGGCTCTACCAGGAGGCACGGTGGGAGATTGCGTTTCTTGCTGCCCTTTGGGCCATCACGCACGCTACGCTCCCCCCCCCGTCCCCTCCCCATAGCTTCAACGATCTCCTCCCCCTCCCTGTAACGTAACGCACCTCCCCCATGATTGCACGCTCCTCCCCCATAGCTTAGCGCTCCTCTCCCATAACTGAGCGCTCCTCCCCCAGAACTTCACGCCCATAACTTCACGCTCCTCCCCCCCATTGCGTCCCCAGCACTGCCGCAGTGCGTCCGTCACCACAGTTTGTGATGCTCGCATGGCGGGGGGGGGGCGGTGTTACAATTTGCCCCCCCGCCCCGTCCGCTCCGAATATCGCCGCGAATGCTCTCCACTTGGACTCAGGTTCGAGGAGGTGTTTTGCCCTCTTCGGAATCCAGGTGCCGTCTCCGTCCCCGGGACCATCAGAAGAAAAATGGATCCGGGGCGAAAAATTGCACCAGATGAACCCCAAGAGGTGTCCAGGACCAATGTTTAAAGGATTTGCTTTTATCCCCCTATTTGGCAGATTTTCTCGAGGTCCATCCCCAGACATGCGACATCTTGATTTTTTCAGTACGGGTCCCTGGAAGTCCCGACCCTTTCCCTGGGACCAGTTTTTCGTCCCGAGTCGAGTTTTGACGGCCCCCAGGCTCGGCGCGGGCGGGCCCCACGAGACCGAAAATGGCCCCAAACCGCACGTCCTGATGTTTCTACGACGCGAGCATGTCTGGGTCCGGTACCGATGTTGAACGGATGTGCTTTGATCCCCCCTTCTTGGCCGATGTTCTCGAAACAGCCAGTTCGGAACCCCCTGGGCCGCCTCCAAGGTGGCAGCGGTGCGCCCACGGTGTCCCCAGCGCGTCGTGCTGTGTTGAAGGGCCCCCCGCGGGGGGGGAACTCTCGTCCTCCTCCTCCTCCCCCCTCCTCCTCCTCCTCCTTTCCCCTCCTCCTCCTCCTCCTCCTCCTCCTCCTCCTCCTCCTCCTTTCCCCTCCTCCCTCCTCCTCCTCCTCCTCCTCCTCCTCCTCCTCCTCCTCCTCCTCCTCCTCCTCCTCCGCTTTCTCGTACCCTTCCTCCCCTCCTCTCTCCTTCTCTCCTCCCATCCTTCCCTTCCCTCCCGCTGCTCCTTCTCCCACGTCCCCTCCCGAGAAGGCCCGCCCCCTCTCACTTGCCCCTTCGGCGCGCCGCCGAGTCTGGTGCTGGCCACTCGCTCGCTCGCTCCCCAGGAGGCCCCGGTGATCCCAGGCCTGACCACGGGGCGAAATCGAGGAAGAGTTGCTGGATTGAAAGAATCAGGTCGTCAGACCCGAACCCCCGACGTCGTGATTTTTTGGCAACGCCCCCAGAGGTCTGGACCCCTTCCCCGGGACCGGCTTGTCATCCTGAGTTGTTTATAGACGTTCCCGAGACCCGGTAAGGGTCTCCCCGGAGGCCGACAATAGCGAAACAAATCACGTCGAGATTTTCTCAACGCGAGGGGGTCTTGGGAGATCGATTTTGTCCCCCTCAGGCCCTGGACGAGCGCCAGCGCAACCAGGCCGCGATCGCGGAGGCGTCGGGCCAGGCCGAGACGGCGGAGCACCAGGCGAAGGCTGGCCAGGGCGAGGGGGGACGACGAGTAGGAAGCAGACCATCGGGACCGTCGATCGGGGGCACCAGGGTGCCCAGATCTCCAGCGATGCCTTCCCAGACACGATCGCGTCGTAAAAAAATCATGACGTTTTTGCTTGTTGTCAATTCTCGGCCCTCTGGGGCCCTCGCCGGGCCTCAGGACCGTCAAAAAACGGCTCAGGATAAAATACCGGTCCCGAGGAAAGGGTCGGGATTTCAGGGACCCCGCCTTGAAAAAATCAGGACGTCGCATGTCTGGGATCGGGACCGTCGCTCGGGATGCCCTGGGGAACCCTCACCAGGGGCGGCCAAGAGGGGGGTGATGACTACGGGGGGGGGTGGCAATCATGGCGGGGGCCATGATGTTTCCCCAGATGTCATGGCGACTCTTTTCATTTCATTGCGTCCCCGGCCCCCCCCCCCCGGCGCGCAATCCGCCGGCCATGATTTGCGCCCCCCCTCTTGGACGCTCCCTTCTTGGACGCCCTCGACCTCAGATCTTGGCGCTGCATTTGTTTTGCAACGCGCGTTTTCGCTTGGTTTCGGGACCAGGACTCTCACAGATCGATGCGGCTCGAACAGTGACGCAGAAAGATGTGGCATAGGGCTGTGGTCGCGATTTGTTCCGATGTTGCAATTGGTTGTTCGCAACGTCGGGTGTCAGGGAAGGCGTCGGGACACTTGGGGCCACGGATGGGAAAAGCAGATCGGAGGGTGTCCGGGATCAGTTGAGCGACGCAAACAAACGTTGCCGCCTGCGGCGCGTAAGCTGCCCGCGGAAGGTCGCGCGTAAGCGCCCTCGTCTCCAGTGTAGCGTGCCGCGCTGGCGGCCCGCGTGAGGCACCGCGTAAGGCCGCCATGTCGTCTCCCGCAAAACCCAGTTTAGATCGTCGCTCAGTTGTCGAAGGGCCCACCAGGGCGCGGGGACGAGGGGTGCAAGCGAATCTCGAGCTGTTCATCTCCAGCGGCAGCCTGTGGGATCTATGGCGCCTGCGCGCGCTGGCCGCCTCCCGGCCAACGCGCCCGCGTGGCCCGCAACAGGACCTGCCCCACAAGGTCCTGTTGCCGTGCAGATAACTCCTTAGCGCTGAGGGGAGGACGGAGGAGAAGGAGGAGGAGGAGAAGAAGGTGGATGAGAAGGGAGGAGGAAAACAAAGAGAGGGAAGAGACAGAGGAAGAGGAGGAGGAGGAGGAGGAGGAGGAGGAGGAGGGAAGGAGGGATAGGAGGAGGATGAGGCGGAGGAGGAGGAGAACGAGCTGGATGATGAGGACGAGGAGGAGGAGGAGGAGGAGGAGGAAGAGGAGGAGGAGGGGGAGGCGGAGGGGGAGGGGGAGGGGGAGTACTCTAGAATGCGAGTGCGAGGATGACAGAATCCGTTTTCTCCTGCTCTGCGACCGTGATGCTCTTCAGCAGCTCTGGACTGGGACGCACAACTGTGTGCGGCCTCTCACGCTCTCACGGTCGAGACCTTAAACGCCGGCCTAAATCTCAATGCAGGAGCCCAGACGGAGCTACGTATCTGCAATCTCTGCCTCTGCCCTCGTCCCCTCACTGGAGGGCTTCTCCGAAGGGCTTAGGCGACCCGTCCTCCTCCTCTTCCTTCTCCTCCCTGGAGGACGCAGGCTTCCATCGTAAGGCTAAATAGAGATCACCCGTGTTGCTTCAAGGTTGACCACCAAGGGCCCGTTTCTGGCCTCCAGGCGGTGACAAAGAGAGCTGTCCTGGGGAAGGGAACGAGAGATCTGGTCAGAACGCGCTCCAGGACATAAACGGTCGTCTCCTTGTTCAGTTGAACCTCCTTTCCAGGGATAAAGTCGTGACAGAATCACAACGTCGTAAGTCCAAATTTGCTCAGCTCCAACATCTCCCATCGACCCGATCAGGGGCAATTTCTGGTAGATTGAAGAGGGGCGAGGGGAGAAGATGGGCAGGATGGGCAATCAGGTGGAGTACGATGAGGGCGAGGAGAAGCAGGAGGAATAGCAGGAGGAGAAGGAGGAGCTTTCTGCGCTGCTCCTCATCATCCTGCCCCCCCCTCGGGCTTCTCCCCCCCCTTCCCTCTTAATTATCCTTCTTGCTCCCTCCTCCTTCACCCGCAAACCTCCATGCCCCACTTCCCGCCCGCCAGCTGCCGAGCTCCATACGCCCGTGTCTGGATTGTTTTGAGCGCGGTCTTCTTGCGTTCGCCATGCTCCAGTCGCTCCGCCATCTTCCGTTCGCGATCCTCCGTCCGCCATTCCCAAATGAGCGACGTGACAAAACGGGGTCGATTGCGTCGACCTTGGCGCGCAAGCTGTCCGCGTAAGGTCGCGCGTAGGTGCCCTCGTCTCCAGCGTAAGGTGCCGCGCTGGGTGTCCGCGTGAGCCACCGCGTAAGGTCGCTACATCGTCTCGCGCAAGACCCGTTTTTGATCGTCGTTCAGATATCGCCATCGTCCATCTCCCGTCGCCAGCCGCGTCCTCCTCATCGCACCGACGGGTCGCGCAGAGCGGGGTGGGGCGAGGGGGGGCGGTGTACTGAGCAGGCAGAGGGGGGAGGGACTCGCAACTGCCGCCCTGCTGCGTGTTCTCGCCAGCAGGGAAGGGTGCGGCACGTGGCCGAAGGACCATCCTGGGGCTTTTGGCCTGCAGCAGCACGAGGGGCTCGGCCCTGCTCGGCCCGCTCTCAGCAGCACGGAAAAGAGTTCGCTGCCGCCGAGCACTCCGCCGCGGGGCGAAATGCACGTGGCGGCGGTCCTGCCGGGCACCCCAGGTTGCAAGAGGTTGCCGCGGTGGCCTGGCTTGGCGCGCATACTGGGCACACTGCTCATGCCCCCCAGCTCATACACATCCGCAGTGCCGTCCTCGTCCTCGTCTTGCTTTCCATCTTACAGTGGGGGCCCATGCCAAGAAACTAGGGGGTGGACAGAACCCCCACCCTGACACGTCGATGACTGAATTGTCCGCTATCGGTTCTCGAGAGGGCGCCGCGGCTGTCATTTCCCAGTCTTGCGCCCGCCAGGTTTGGGCCCGAGGTCGTTTTCACTAAACCGCGTTTTACTAAAGGGGTTTCTGTCCACTCCCGAGAAACACCCTGCTTGCCTCCAGGGCGCCATGGTTTTCTTGGGTTTCGATGGCTTTGCCATGGACAGCGTGACACTCCCACGCCAAACATCGATGGATGTCCTGGGGTCTCAGGGTGGGGTTTCTTGTGGAAGGTTTCTAGTGGACTGGCCTCCACTGTGTCACATCACGTCGCGTGACGATCTCGCGCCTGCGCTGGGTGGCGGCACTTGCTGCTGCAGTCCCCCGCGCCGTCGCCTCAGCAGGCCTTGCAGATGAGGCTCCTCGGGGTCACCGACGGCGGGGAGAGCACCAGGCCTCTAGAGGGGCGCCTGTGTTCTGTCGCTGCTTGTGTCGCCCTTCCTCCTCATGCTCTCTCCCTCCAGCTCTCTCCTGGATATCCTTGTCGTTTGTTTTGGTTTCTCTCTCTCGTTCTCTCTCCCTCTCTTGTTTCTCTATGTCTCCCTCTCTCTCGCTCTTTCCCTCCCTCCCTCCCTCCCTCTCTCTCCATCGACCTCTCTCGCTATCTCTCTGTCTCTCTGTATAGCTATACCTTTATGTGTTGCTATGTCTCTCCCTCTCTCTCTCTCTCAACATGTACATTCTGCGGTACCCCCCCCACCCCCCGCATCCCCAAACTACCCAAACCACAAAACCTAAATTGGTCGGTTGCCCGTCGTCGTCCTCCTCCTCCTCATCATTGTTATCCTCCTCCTCTTCCTCCTCCTCCTCCTCCAACTCCTCCTCCTCTCCCACCTCCTCCTCCTCCTCCTCCTCCTCCCCCGTTCCTCCTCCTCCTCCTCCTCCTCCTCCGTCTGCTCCTCCTCCCCCTGTATCTCTTGCTCCGGCTGCAGCACGGCAGGTCTCTTTCTCCTTCTCCTCCGCCTCCACCTCATTCCCATCCTCCTGTAATTCCTCCTCCTCTTCCTCCTCTTTGTAGCAACACAAAACCAGCCATAGAGCGTTGTTTGTCCTAAACGGTTGGACCCCGCCCTCCCCAGTCGGCTTGGGTTTCTTCTCTCCCTGCCCCTGCCTCTGCTTGCCCTTCCTTTTCCCTCTCTCCCGCTCAAGCCTTCGGGGCTCAAAGCCCTGGAGCCGACCTCAGGAGGTCTGGGCGCCCGCGGCGCCCGGAAGCGTGCGTGCCATGGCCGCCCGGCGCCCGGCGCTGGCAGGCACGGCACGCGGGCTGGCCGCGCTGATCACCAGCGCAGCCGCCTACGACTGGCGCGGGCCGCTCAGCTCCGCTGTTGCCCGCGCCAGTTGGGGCCACCCGGCTGCGGCCCAGGAGGCCCCGTTCGGGTACACCGTGCCGTACCACGACGACTCCGAGTACGGCATGGAGATCGGCGAGCACGAGGAGGAGGGTGGGGATGCAGGCAGCCCCCAGGCGCCGCCCGACAGTGGGCCGCCGGGAGCGCCGCCCCCGCCCCCAGCCCAGGCCGCCGGAGGAGTCGAGAATGGCAGCTACCCCACCAAGGACCCAGGCAGCGAGGAGTCTTGGGTGGGCGGCTGGGGTGTCTGGGCGCTGGGATTGAAGCCACTACGTGAGGGCACCTGGGCCTGGCGCCTGAGTGGTATGGGCGGGGTCGCCTACGAGAAGCTTGACAGCCTTGGGAGCGCCTTCTCCACCCACGCCGAGACGGGCTGGCTGACCAAGGATGGCGGATGGTTCTTCTATGCTCTCGAGAAGCTGGGCCTGACGGTCTTCGGAGCCGCCTGGCCTGCCGTGGCATGGACGTTCATCTTCTTGGCTTTCCTGGCGGTGCTGGCTTTCCTCACTCATATCTGTCGTACCCTACTGGCCCCCTGCGCAGCCGCCCTCTGGCTGATTGGTCTACTGGCGCGGTGCTCCAAGTGCCGCCGGCGAGAGCCTGGCGATGCAGCTGCCGAAAGGTACCTGCCGCCGGCTCCGCCTGCCCTTACCCAGATCAACTGGATGGGGCCAGAGACCGGACCAGCCACGACCACTGAGCACTACAGTAAGAAGGTGAAGGGTCGTGGGACTGGGAGGCGACCTAACGACGTGCTGATCAAGATCGACGACCACGTGGCCCGGTTGAAGGTCGACCTGTCGGAGCCCAAGCGGATCGACCGGAAGGGCCTTTGGATAGACTACCTGGGCGTGAAGGGGGCCAGCTCGCGCGCACTCCGCCAGAAGCTGGAGTCGCTCGAAGGCCGTTCCATTCACCTGTGCCGCAACCTGGTCTGTAGAGATCAGCCTGGAGAAGTTCATTGCAAGGAGTACGCTGCCTTGGATTCCGAGGCGATCGTGGACATCGGCTCCCACGCCAGGTTCACCTCCTGCCGGGGAGTCTTCCTGCTCTGGCGGACCGTCGCCGACCTGGGGAGGGGCATCTGGAAAGTTATCGTGTTCCTTTACTGTATCCTCTCCTGCGGTTGCTCCTTCTGCTGCCGGCGACGCCGCCGTCGCAAGACAGGCGCTGCGGGGCCAGGCGTTGCAGGGAGCATCGCAGAAGTTTTGGATCAGGAGTCAGAGTCGGAAGTGGAGGCCGAGGACAAGCCATGTGAAGCTGTTCGGGTGGGTATCGTTCTACGTGGCGGCGCCCGCCCCTTGGCGCCCGACGGTTGCAGGGGCGCCGCGGAGGCCGAGCCGACCACCTTGCTCTTTGAAGACGGGCAAGCGTCAGACCTCCCGCCACCCAGTGACGGGCGGAATTCGTTCGCCCATCTCTGCGCACATCATGCCCAGGTCTACCGAGCCTCTCGGTATCGTGATAAATGTTCGCAGGTGACTTGCTACCGTCAAGCAGTTGGCAACGCAGAGGGCGTACCACTATGTCTCCTTCATCTGGGTGGAGAAGCAGGCCGAGCAGCGCAGGCAGCCGCAGCCGTCCAAGGCCGCGGATTCCTCTCGAGTCTGGGCTTGCGGCGTCGGACGGTTCGCAGTCGCAGCCCACGGGCGCGCGAGCAGGGCATCCCAGTCAACGCAGCTCCCCCCGCAGATGGGGCTCGGGGACCAGAGAGCCATCGCGGACAGGCAGCCCCTGGGCAACACCGACGGGAGGCCTCAGCTTCGCCGCGAGGTCCACCTGTTGGCGTCAGGTTTGAAGCGCCGCCTTCTCCGAGGGTGCCCCTCCCGCGAGACGCCAGCCCTGCCCCAGACGAGGAGACCGAGCAAGGTGACCCTCTCGTACTGCGTGTGCGAGTGCACTGGGCCGCCGGCCCGCAGTGGGTCATCTTCTTGGGGAAGTCGCGTCCAGGAGGAGGGCCCACCGGAGATGGCAGCACGACCGTAGTAGACGTGGAGGAGCCGCGCTGCAAAGACTACTCGGCAGAGGGCCAGGAGAACGTCTGCTTCGCCCTCAAGACCGCGGGGATCGAGTACGCTCCCGTCGCCAGCGACCAGGGAAGGCTCCCCGCCGGCTACCTTGAGGAGCTCTTGTGCCACCCGCCACTCGGTGCCGAGGAAATGGGGATCGGGGTGCATGGCGTCGTCGTGAGCAACACCATGTGGGAGAAGCTGCTTCCTTGGAACGGGGCCCCCGTCGGCGGGAAGACCAAGAGGATCGGCCGCCCTCAGTGGGCTCAGCTTCGGGCCCGCGGGGACTTGCTCGTGTACCGACATCTAGCGGGCACCTCAGGTGATGCCCCCGGAGTACCGCAGCCCACCTCCGACGAGCTGGACACGCAGCTCAAGAAGCATTGGGCGAGGCTCGATCGCAGCAGTTCCCCCAAGCCCCCATTCGGCGTCGGGTGGGGCCTGGGCGAGGAGGGTGATCTGGCCTCCTCAGTCCCTCGACGCTCCTCCCGCAGTCCGGCGGGGAAGGACCATGAAGAGGAGAACACCGGGGAGGCCATGCTGGGACTGTGCCTCGCTGCTCATGAAGAAGGATCGGACGACGCCTCGGCGCTCCAGAGCGTGGCGGCCGGATACGACGAGGGCGTCACCGTGGTCTTGGGGCATCTCATCAAGCACACCCGGCGTCTCATGCACAGCAGCGGGACCGAGGAGCGGGCCAAGTACCAGGCGCACATCGACAGGTGGGAAAGAAAGTTGGAGCGGGTTCGAGCCGAAAAAGACGAGGGGGTGAACCCACCCCTCGCTAGTGGCCTCTTGAAGCTAGACACCGAGCGCAAGCCCGACGCCAGCCAAGAGCCCAGCCAACCTGGAGCCCCCCCTGGGCTGGACGCCGCCACGAGCGCTCCGCCATTGCCGCCACCGGCTACCCCGCCTGGCGTGCGCGTGCCGGGAGCGACTCGCTTGTCTCCGCCAGGTTTGATGCCAGGCCTCGTACCGAATCTCGGGCAGATGTTCACCAACCGGAGCGCCTACGGCCACGGAGGACTGGTTAAGACCCCGGGGCAACCCGACCGTAGGTACGCCGCAGGAGCCGGAGAAGGTGAACCCTCAGCCGCTTTCTCCACCTACGCGCAAGTCCTCCAGAGCGGTCAAGAGCAGCAGCACCTGGACAACATGCGGCTGCTGCAGGCGGTGGACAGCCTCCGCAGGTCCGGCGAGGAGGAGAAGGTAGCGCAGCGGGGCACCCTCGGCGCCATCGGACGTGCCGAGGAGCTGGACGTGTACCTGGCGCGGGGTTGCGACACCCTCGACGTGGAGGTCTGCGGTGCCCTGACCGGACGGGAGTTGTTCCATGGCCTCAAGCGCGCCTGCGAGCACGCGAAGCACGCGATGCAGGCGGTGAACTGGCCGACGACGGTGACGAACAGGATGGCGTACGGCATCGCCGCCTTCTGTTGGGGGGGACGGGACCACAAGGTTCTGGCCGAGTGGTCGATCTCCGTGGCCGATTTTCCCCATTGCAAAGCAGAGGTGTTCGACGCCTCCACCGTGCCCACCACGTGCAAGCTCGAGCCGCGCCCCCGGCACCCGGTCGTCTTCTCTCAGTGGGTGAGGCAGGCCGAGAACGCCATCACCGTCTTCGGGCTAGTCTACGGGCGGATGCACGAGCCCGAGCGACGCCGAGCCCTGGAGACCCTGCGCCTTGCCTACGAGGAGGACGACGTGGCCTTCCCAGCTGACTATGTGTACAGCCTCTGGGAAGAGCTTGCTGCAACCTGGTGCGAGCAGCTTCGGGAGAAGCGAAGGGAGGTGTGCCGCATCCTGGGGCTCACTAACCCGCGCCGGGAGGACATCAAAACCATCGCCCTCGCCCCTACGGGGCCGTCTGGGAGTGCGTGGCTGACCTTTCCGAACGTGTACGACCTCGACGCGCCGGATGGGTACTGCCAGGTGGTGTGCGTCCCTCGCCAGGCCCGGCGGCTGCAGAGGTTCCTCCATCAGAACCTCCACGCCGGCCCCTCGAGGACCCCCAAGGCTGGGAAGGCTGACGACCA